GCCCACCTTACAGACGTTAACTGTAGGGCTTTCGTAGATGCCTTTTATTAAGATGAAGAAGTTCCTTTCTATTCCTATGTTGTTGAGAATTTTTATCCTGAATGGCCACTGGATTTTGTGAAATCCTTTTTCTGCATTTATTGAGGTCATCAGGTAGCAATTGTTCTTTTTTTTGTCAATATAATGTATGATATTAATTGACTTTCAGATGGTGAAGCAACCTTGCATTCCCAGGGATATCCCATTTGGTCTGGAATAAACCTTTGTACTTGTTGCCGATTTGGTTTGCAAATATTTTGTCAAGCACTCTTTCATCTATGTTCATGCGTCATATTGCTCTTTAGTTTTCTTAAGTTGTCTCTAACATTGGTACCGGGAAGTACTTAGCCACTTGGAGTGAGTAAGATGTATCCCTGCCTCTACCACTTCTGGAGGCTTTGTGGTGAAGGTGACATATTGTTTCTTCTTTTTTTTTTTTTTTAAGATTTTATTTTTAAGGAATCTCTGCGCCCAACATGGGACTTGAACTCACAATCCCAAGATCAAGAGTCATGTGCTTTACCAACTGAGCCAGTCTGGCACCCCTGTTTCTTCTTTAAATGTTTGGTAGAATTTACTACTTATGCCATCTGAACTTGGAGAATTGTGGGGAGAGATTTTTATTTATTTTTTATTATTTTTTAACGCTTATTTATTTTTGAGACAGGGAGAGACAGCATGAACGGGGGAGGGTCAGAGAGAGAGGGAGACACAGAATCCGAAACAGGCTCCAGGCTCTGAGCTGTCAGCACAGAGCCCGACGTGGGGCTCAAACTCACGGACCGCGAGACCATGACCTGAGCCAAAGTCGGATGCTTAACCGACTGAGCCACCCAGGCGCCCCATGAGATTTTTAATTTTTTGTGGGGAGAGATTTTTAATTACTAGCCCAATTTTTTTTTCTTTTTCTTTTTCTTTTTTTTTTTTTACTTTTTATAGATCTCTTCAGATTTTATTTTTCTTCTTCAGTCAGTTTCAGAAACCCATATCTTTCTGGGAATTATCCGTTTCATCTAATTGTCTGCTTTGTTGGTGAGCAGTTGGTTTGGACTCTCCTGTAGTTCTCTTAACTTCTCTGAGGCCAGCCTTGCTGTCTTCCTTTTCATTCCTAAATTTACTTACTTGCGTCTTCTCTTTTTCTTGGTCTGTCTCGCTCAGGAGTCAGCAGATGACAGCTCACAGGACAAAACCCCTGGCAGCCTGTTTTTTATGGTCTCTGAGCTAAAAATGGTCTTTTTATTTTTAAAATGTTATAAAAACAAAATAACAAACAACAACAAAAAACCAAGAATATTGGCAGAAACCACATATGGCCACAAAGACCAAAATATTTACTCTCTGGCCCTTTATAGAAAAAGTTTGTTGGTCTCCAATCTAGCTAAAAGTTTGTTAAATTTGATGTTTTCAAAGAACCAATCATTGTTTGAATTGATTGTTTCTGTTGCTTTTCTTTTCTCTGTCTCTTTCTGTTTCTGCTCTGATCTTTATTATTTTTTTCTTACTTTTGGTTTAGTTTTCTCTTTTTTATTGTTGTTTCTTAAGAAATCAGTCTTTGTTGGTACAGGTGCGGCTTTTGCCGTATTGCTATATCATGTTTTCATTCAGCTCAGAATATTTTCTAATTGTGATTTCTTCTGCAACTGTCGGCTGTTTAGAAGTAAATTGTTCATTTCCACACATTGGTGGTAGATTTACCAAATACCCTCCTGTGTTTGGTTTCTGACTTCACTGTGGTCAGAGAACAGGTTTCATATGATCTTAATGCTTTCACATTTGTGGTCCCTGCTGCGTAGACGAGCCTGCGCTGGTGGGTTGAGTGCTGGTTGATGGCACTGCCTCCCTTCTCTCTGCGGGTGGCCTGGCCCGTCCAGCTGTCCTGTCTGGTGCCCACAGTGAGTGTCTGAATTTCCATTTCCAGCTTTTGCTGTTGAGTTGTCCCTTTCTTTCTTCAGGTCTGTGCTTTTTATTTCCTCTTCCTCTGTGGCCAGCACGCAAGTGCATTTACGACCTTTACTTCTTTTTGATGGCGGCCCTCTGTCCGCGTGTAGCCTCCTCCCCGTCTCCAGGCATCCTGTTGCCGAAGGTCTGTCCGTCTCTCTGGCTTCAGTTTGCGTGGGATCTTCCGCCCTGCCACGTTTAGTCGCTCTGTGTCGGAACCTGATGTCTGTGTCTTGCAAATAGCACGTCAGTAGATCTTCTTTCTGTGTGTGTGTGTGTGTGTGTGTGTGTGTGTGTTTTAACCCAATCTGACAGTGTTTAGTTTTAGTTAAAGAATTGAGTTTTTTCACATTTGTTGTTTATTTGGCTGTGTGTGCTCATGTGTTCCCCACTTACTTACAGCCTCACGTCTCTTTTGTTCACGTCTTCTGTCCTTGCTGCTTCCACCTATTTTATTGAACAGATATTTTCCAGTGCACTGCTTAAAATTACTGATTTTTAACTCTTGGAGTTATTTTCTTAGTGGTTGCTTTCTGAGAGTCTTACCATGTGTTGTTTTGTCTGCCTGGTGACCCTCGTGTGCTGGCCGCTGTGTCTTAGCACCTGTGCAGTCTGAGGCCTTGCCTCAGATGAGAGTCCTCCCTCAGAGACTCCCCCTCACTTCCTCCGGGTGCCTGGGGCCCTGTGGCCATTGTCCCTCGAGCCCCTATCGCCTTGGGGAGACAGCAGCTGCGGCCTGAGCTGGCAAGTGCTGTGGGTGAGCAGCACCCACTCCCTCCCTGACACTGAGCAGCCCTGGGCTCCCGTTGCCCTCCTCTCAGACTTTCGTTAGGCTCATCGATGCCTCCGGGGCAGAAATGGCTGGTGTTTTCCTGTTCACACCCCTGCCTGGATTTGGACCCAGGACCCCGAGTGCTTCTCGTTAACTCTCTATTGCTATTAAGACTTTTAAGATGTTTTACACAGCTTTCTTAGCTGAACAGAGCAGGATTATTTGTGTGCCAAAGGCTAGTGTGTCATTTCTGCGGGTGGAACCTGGAGGCCTCTTGACTGGGGTCGGGACCCTGTCCTGGCACATGAGCAGGTAGCAAACCATGAGCAGGAAATTTCTCCATAAGTCAGAATTTTTGGCAGAAACACACAGGTAGCTAACATTTGATAATTCCTTGGCCCTGTACTTTGCAAGCAGGGTTTCAACCTGTCAGTCAGTCTGCTCTGTCTCCTCCCCTTCTTCGGGGAGCCTCCTGAGCACGTGACCACATAACTTTTGTCTTTGAGTCTGAAAGCCAGGCATAAAGACACTTAACAAACACACACACACACACACACACACACACACACACACACACACACACA